ACACACAAATACACACACACACACACACACACACACACACACACACACTCTTTGCTGTCTAATTAAGAAGTACACTATGCTTTTTTCACTTGCCAATTAAGAAGGGAAAAAAAGAAAAACAAGAAAAGGTTGAAAGATGAATACATCTCAAAGCTTTGCCTTAAAAGATCAAACAAACATTCCTTATATACAATTGAACCAAAAAAAGAATGCTTGTCTTGTAACAAAACAAACCCCAAAATTATCCATTTTTTTCCTATTTTTTTTATTTTAATTTTTCACACACACACACACACACACACACACACACATATATATATATATATATATTTATTTAATGATGAGAAGAGAAGATAGCAGCACAACATCAATTAACAGCAGGTGCCAAGACTGTGGAAATCAAGCAAAGAGAGATTGCGAGCATTTGAGGTGCAGGACCTGCTGTAAAACCCGAGGCTTCGAGTGCCAAACGCACGTGAGAAGCACGTGGGTTCCGGTCTCCCAGCGGCGGCCCAGGCACTGTACCGTGCGCCAGCACCACCAGATCGCAGCCACTGTTGACCAACAGCAGCAGCATGGACCAAACCCTAAAAGATACAGAGAAACATTAGGTAATCATATATTTACATAGGAACTGTTTGATTTTCTCTATCATTTCATTTAAACAGTGCACGGGATTTTCGTAGATCCGTGGAGAAAAAAAACACACAAACACGCACTCCACGGTGTAATGATTTTGGGGTTAAAGGCTCGTTTTTATTTATTTTATTTATTTTTTTTTCATTTACCTTTATTTTATATCAGTGCAGTTAAGTGGCAAACCCTAGCTAAAGTAGTACAAAAAAAAAAAAATGGTTGAATTTTTTCAATTTGGATTGAATATAAAATTGTGATAGAATTAATTAATTATTTTATTTGTGGTGAGTAAGACGAAAATATTCCGTTGTAATTAATTAGTTGAAATATTCGGAAAGCAATTTTTCATGGGAAACCGTAAAATTAAGTTGGGAAAATTGCATTTGGAACATTTTAATAGAACAAAATATTATTTTATTTTTTTTATTTAATTTGTTGGCATTTTTCAATATATATCATAATATTAAGATATTTATTGGATTTCTCAACAACATATTTGTTCTTTGCAATTTTCATTGTAATATATGTTCCTGTAGTAAACACAGGTTCAGTTGTCACATAGGTTCTAATTTATTAGCTATTTACAATAATGTACATATGATGGCCATAGACACTACTAGAAATTAGAGATTCAGAAACGGAAATTAT